GACACCTGGGAGCCAGAAATCTTTCTGATTTGAGAGGGGGTCAAATACTTATTTCCCTCATTAAAAATTCAAATCAATTTATAACATTTTTGACATGCGTTTATCTGGATTTTTGTTGTTGTTATTCTGTCTCTCACTGTTCAAATAAAACTACCATTAAAATTATAGACTGATAATTTCTTTGTTGGTGGGCAAACGTACAAAATCAGCAGGGGATCAAATACTTTTTTCCCTCACTGTATGTACACTGAGTGTACAAAACATGAAGAACACCTGCTTTTTCCATGACATAGACTGACCAGGTGAATTCAGGTAAAAGCTATGATCCCTAATTGATGTCACTTGTTAAATCAGTGCAGATGAAGGGGAGAAGACAGGTTAAAGAAGGATGTTTAAGACTTGAGACAAAACTTGTGAATGTGTTCCATTCAGAGGGTGAACGGCAAGACAAAATATTTAAGTGCCTTTAAACGGGGTATGGTAGTAGGTGCCAGACGCACCGGTTTGTGTCAAGAACTGCAACGCTGCTGGGTTTTTCACACTCAACAGTTTCCCGTGTGAATCAAGAATGGTTCACCACCCAAGGACATCCAGCCAACTTGATACAACTATGGGAAGCATCCCTGTGGAACGCTTTTGACACCTTGTAGAGTCCATGCCCCGACGAATTGAGACTGTTCTGAGGGCAAAAGGGGGTGCAGTATGAAAATGTATGCACTCACTAACTGTAAGCCGCTCTGGATAAGAGTGTCTGCTAAATGACTAAAATGTAAATGTAATGCAATTCAATATTAGGAAGGTGTTCCTAATGTTTGATATACTCAGTGTATATCTAGTGTTACAGAGAGCCCTAGCCAGCCTGCTTTGCGACTAGAGCATGACCATGATCTGACTGGAGACGAAGAGTCACCTCAGTGTTACCTGAGCCGTGTAGAGATGACACAAGCTCTTAGATCTGGACTGTGACCCTGGCACTGTCTAAGGTTTAAGCAAAGCCTCAAGCAGCTCAGTGCCAGGGCAGGACATACATACTGCCAAGGCAGCTGAGTCAATCGACAAGGATATTTTAGTATTGACGGCCAAACCTCTGAACCCACTTCACTTCCCCACCTCGTCCTCTCTCCTCTCCTCCCTCCTTCCCTCTTAGTTACAGACAGTAGCAAGCAGCACCCTTTATCTTCTTTCTTCAAAGTGCTGGCCGTGGTGTTGAGAAGCGCTTACGGCCATTCTTTAAGGTTAACAAAAGTTTCGTAATCATTCTGGAGAAGTCACTTTTCGTGAGCATTCAGGCTTCAGGCAGCCCTAAATCCACAGGGTTGCCCAGCCATTACAAATACCACAGGAGGAAGGACACCTGTCTGTCCTGTATGTCCTGTACTCCTGAGTGGCGCAGTGGTCTAAGGCACTGCATCGCAGTGCTAACTGTGCCACTAGAGATCCTGGTTCAAATCCAGACTCTGTCGCAGCCGGCCGCGACCGGGAGACTCATGGGCGGCGCACAATTGGCCCAGCGTCGTCCATGGTAGGGGAGGGAATGGCCGGCAGGGATGTAGCTCAGTTGATAGAGCATGGCGTTTGCACCGCCAGGGTTGTGGGTTCGATTCCCACGGGGGGCCAGCAAAAAAAATAATGTATTCACTAACTGTAAGTTGCTCTGGATAAGAGCGTCTGCTAAATGACGTAAATGTATGTGCTGATAACTACAGAATTGAAAAGAGAAGGCCATAATCATTGTGAGACAAGTTCCCCTCAGCAGAAGGTATTGATTATTTGTGTGTGGTTAGAGTTGGAAAATTCAATTAAAGGATTTGTGCAAAGAATTAATAAATTCTCCCCCTCCAACCCATACAGAGACATTGTTCTAAATCACTTCACAATATACTTTCTTAGGAGGATAAAAATAAATAACAATTAAACAGCTACAGAAACACATTTTAGTTTCTCAGAAACATTTAGTCATGGGCAACCCACCAACGTGTGGACATCTTCTGGGCAGTAACCAATTTTTATTGCCATTTTCCCATAAGAAAACCCTATATAATATGAATTTTCAGATGATAACATAAGGAGAAGGGACGACTCAGCAGTATAAAAATTGATCAGGCCATAGATGGGTCCATGTTGAGGAAGATTTGTATGTCAGCAGTAATGGGGTGTATCAAAGAAAGGATTCCTTAAATGTAATAAAAGCGATGGGATGGGCTGGTATCCCAGGTCCAGGGCTAAGGCCCAGGCTTCACCACTATCTGCCACATCAATCATCTCTCCTCCTCAGACACATGCCACCTGTTTGGGAGGAGTTTTATGCTTTTTGATTAAACACAGCTGCAATTAAAGAGCAGAGCTGTATATTACTTAAGAGGCTATTTTAGTGACGTTTAAGCCTGGCTGCAGAGTTGCAGCCTTTAGTTTGATCGCCCCCAGAGGCTTTAGACTACGCACGCCTTCAGACATGATTTCTGACACAGACCATGTCGTTGTATTTTCCAATTCTCCAGTGAAAAATAATAAAAATTTATTTTATTGTCAAAACTGTAATCAATTAGGTGAGTATTTAAAAACAAAAAATGAAGATATTTATTTCACTGCTAAATCAAACCACTTGGGCCCTCAGATTTGTCCGTTTGGGATGTGTGAGTTGCAGTGTCAGTTATAATTTTCCTCTTAAAGCAGTAACTGTATTTAATCTCTGAATGAGAAGTAGTATCTAATAACATTTTGTTCTCTACAGGTATTGTCTGGCAGCTGGCAGCTCCTCTGACTTTCTGAAATCCATAATGGGCTTCTAAAGGTAAAAAACTCAGAGTATTATAGAGCCTACAGCTTTACCTCAAGTGCAAAAACTTGAATCAAGTCCAACGATCCATTATACTTTAACCCATTCATCGCTGTCTGCTTGAAATTTACAACATGTTACTTGTTTAATTTTCCTCCTGTAGAAGTACACCAATCAGTATGTCTTCCCATTGAATGTGGTGATATTACAGTGTGACAGACAGCAGGGTTACACTCATGTTTGCCTCTCTGATATCCCCCTGTAGGTTCCCCCTGTAGGTTACCGACGGCAACTGGAATAGCTACTTTCTCCTTTTCCACAGTGTATGCTTCCTCTTCGGAGATGGCCGGTTGATGAATATAGAATCCAAGCTGTCAGTTGTGAGGCAGAGAGACGTCTCGGAGGCTGCCTGTCAGTCATTGGGGGAATGTGTCAGAAAGTGAAAAGGCAGTGTTAGACATCAGAAACGTTTACATTGAGCCCTGTCTGCTGGAGAAAGCCTCTCCCTCACCACTGACAAATGTTGATTCTACAATAACGGCCGCGATGCAGCACTGCAAAAATAAAATTTTATTTCAGTGAGCGAACCCCCTCGTCCCATTAGACCTGATGCTGTATGAAATCCACCCCCACCATTTCCTTTAGCTACCTGGAAAAGTAAAGAAACATGAATATGGGCTCCGAGGAGAGGCTCCAATATTCACGTACGTGTACACACACTCAGACATACACTTCAGTCTCTGGCTCTTTATTTGGCTGTACCTGGGAAGGCTGAGGCCTCTTGCAGCCCAAGCGACCTAAGCAACAGCTGGTGTGCACAGACACATTTCCTATTTCTACCCAAGGTGGATCATATAATTCTCACTTTATCACCCTTGGAGGCCATGTGAAGGACAAAGTGTGCACGCCGTTAAACAAAACGAATGTTTTCATACTGGCCCTCCGGAGGTGGGAGAAGGGGCCCTTTGGCGATCCTACACCCCCGGCCACCCACCACCTCTCCCGCTACTCCACATCACCTTAGACCTCGAGCCCACCAACCCTTTCCTCCTCGAGGGGTCCCACTCTCCTTCGCTCTCACCCCCCGTCTCCAGCCCACCACCCATCATGACACAGGCCACTCAGGCAACACTATGGCAGTGCTTTGAACGTGGTGCATGAATGTATTCATTTATCAACATTTCTGAATGTAATTTCTAATCATAAATACAATAGGCCTAGTATGCATTTATGAAAATGACAGTGTTTTGGTACTGGCTAAAGACGTTTCTTTTAACTCCATATCTTCATCTGTTGTCCCCTTCCTCCCAGTCCTTCCACAGTAGTAGTTCTAAAGGCACATGCCTCTGGATGTCTCGCCCTTCCCATCTCTAGTGTTATTGGCTGCAGGGCCAGCGGCTGCAGATACACAGCATAGCAGCCCGCCCTCAGTGACCCGATAACATTTATCGTTGTAATGGATTTTTTTTATGCCTGTCATTAACTCACAGGCAATGGGGGTAAAATATTGCTTGTACCGTTTTTCTGTGGTATTTCGACTTTATGACATTATGTTCAGATATCTCATCTTCCATCATCCTTGTTTTAGGGCCTGTCTGACCTGTCACTGCTTTTTGTGTTTAAATGCATAGCCCTTTGTGTGCTGTGTGGACTCTCCTTGTATCTAGCTGTTGTAATGAATCTTTTATGAAGCTAAATTAAATGGTTGAAAGACATGGTTTGGCTAATTATTGTCTGGCTACGACACAGTGCAACACTATTACCGCCAGTGATTTAGTTAGCTGAAAACTTGGAGAAGATGGACACTTTATGAGGAGGTTATTTGAAACTGCTTCGGACGGATCTAATCTACGTGCTGACAATACGGCTGTAAAATCGAGGTTCTTCGAGAATTCATATCAGAGGTGATTTAAATTGTCAAGAAAAATACAATTTGTAAAAAATAATTGTAATGATGGAACAAACACTTGGAAATATTGAAAAACAGTCAAGTAAAAAAATATAAAGACTTGTTTTAAGTTTGATGTACATAATTAGGCATTGACAAAACACCAACCATTCATGTTGACAGGAGGGTTATCTCTCTAGAATAAAAATTGTAAATGATTGGCCCTAGACTAGTAACGTTTCTCCATGAGTCCTATTGGTCCTTGGTGGTCAGTGACTGAGGCACTGTGCATAGTTTGTTTTTCAGTAAGTTTTCTTTCTGCCAGGTGGCGACTACTCAGTTAGTTTTCTTCTGATTCTTACTCCCAGGTGGAGGCGGCTCGGCAATCTGGACATTGTTGAAGTAGAGGAGGAGGCGCAGGAAATGGTGGAAGGAGAACACTGACACCAGGAGGGTAAACAAATCATCAGGCAGCCTGGACGGAGGGGTCAGCGCCATGCTCGTAAAGCTCAAACCAGCCATGGCCACGATGGAGATGTAGAACTGCAGGAGAGATTGAGAGAGGAGAGAGAGATGGAGAGAGACTTTTCAGGTTTTTCTTTTTCTAAGGGAGTTAAGCCATCACAGCTAAGCCAAGGCCCACTCATAGCCCAGTGTTGGGCTCATTTGGATTTAAATTCCAGTCAAATCAGAAACTGAGTTTGACATGCAATTCAAATTGATAATGTCCTAATTACATTTTACATTGTACATTTTAGATTAATTAAGGGTTAGATTCTATCAGATCCATGCTAGCCGACACCCGCATAGTGGTTGTTTTGGCGGTGTCGGAGGTGGAACTGCGTTAGAGCGGTCAAATCTACAAGCAGCTCCCGGCATTATACTTAAAGCGGACATTGCCATTGGCTGCACGGAGTAAGTAGCATTAAGAGAAATCTCCATTCCAGTTCGAACACTGGAATGTGAGATGTAATCTACAACTCAATTAAGCTGATAGATTTCCTCATTTCATTTAATGACTTTCAATTTGAGAGTCATTATTTCTATATAGCCTACACTTTCTCGTTCTGACTCTAACGAGAGTGGGACGGGTATGTCTTCGTGACAGATCACAAGAGCAACTGCTCACAGATTTGACAGCTCCGACACTATCAAAACATCAGCCATGGGGGTCTCGGCTATCGCCGTTTAATGCTTAATCTGATTGAATCTAGGCCTCAAGTTCCTGGTCTTGAAATAGAATTGGCCCTAGTCATAATAACTATGCAACGTAGTTAAGATAAAAATCACAAATAAAATGAAGAGACATTGCATGACGATCCCCCATCACAGGACCCTCCCTCATCACAACTGACATTTATGTTGCAAACAGAGTGTTGGTAGCAGGATCAACATGAACATGTCTATTTGGGACCTGTGGACCTAGGGATCAGTGAGGGTAGGTGGCGTAAACGCCTCCGTATGAGACCCACCCCATTAAACCCTAGCCCCAATGCTGGGCCTCCTTATTTATGCCTCTTGGGTAAATAAATATATCTAGGCAAACCTGTGTTAATGACTCTATAAAAAGACACCTCTTCCTTCTCATGATCTCCCACACCGCACTGCGCCGTCCAGTAGCGGTGTCCATGGCTACGTCCCAATCCCAAATGGCACCCTATTCCCTATATAGTACACTACTTTTGACCAGGGCCCATCCTATTCCCTATACAGTGCACTACTTTTTACCAGAGCCCTATGGGGCCTGGTCAAAAGTAGTGTACTATATAGGGAATAGGGTACCATTTAGGATACAGCCCCGTCTGTCGCTAAGGGAGGGGAGGGTGCAGCAGCACAGCTGAGCAGGGCCAGGAAGCCACTTCAGACAACTGTATCTTAAATAAGTGATAAATAATACTTGGGGCCTGGCAGTGGCTTTCATCCCAGGCAGCTTACACAGCTTACAGTACAGTGGCACATTATATTTATTTATACAGTTGGAGAGATATGTATCTTCTCACGCTGATGCAATTCAGGTTATGAAATTACTGTAGCTAGTTTTCCATCCAATTGGTGACAGATTTTCATGTGCATATTCAAAAATCTGCATAAAGAAAATATGTGAATTTTCCCACCGGTGGTGTTTCCACCAAACTAACTTGTTGTGGATAAAAATCCGTGCGTGATAATGTAGTGCAGACAACATGTACTTTTTCACTGAATTTTTCATGTACCGAATAAGAATGTAAAGTTCAATGTGTTTCCACTGTACCAATAGTTTTGTCAAAAAAACTGTTGAGTTAAATGGCAAATGTTCCTACTCAGGTCTTGGCACGTGCGCTCTAGCCAACAGCTAGCAGATACAGTGTGGGTAGGCTAGTCTACATGATGAGATTATTTGTCAAAGGTAGTCAAGCATCGATCATCATGTCACCAGAATAAGATCCATGATATTTATTGGAAAGGAGCATCAAGTTCATCGTAACATTTTCATTAGTAGCCTAATAAACTGCATGCTTTCCCAAGTTGTAGAGGGAGGACTACACACCATATCATCGCGTGACTCCAAGTTTCCTTCGATATGATGGTTATCATATTAATATTTGTGCATAAAGGCGTTTCCACCGCCATTTCGCACATTATTTATTTTACCGACACAAAAAGATCCCACCAAACTTCCTGTTTCCATCACAGCTGCTGTGATTTTTTTTTATACGGTATGACTTTACTTGCATAAAAACTGTGGATGGAAACGTGGTTAGTGACAACAACCTTCTGAAATTACTTTGAAATTCCTGTGACAAAAACCTAATCTTCTTACCAGGTGGCTGTGGACATTCTTTACTTATCTGAAGTAACTTAAGTATGGTAAAGAAAAGATTGGGCAACCCTTGCCCTACCCACTACTAAAACAGACAACATTGCAACTATCTGCCTGGTAAAGAACGCTATCTGTTTTTGCTTTGCAATCTGATAAATATTTTGCTATGAATGGATGAATGAATACTGTTGTATTTTCTTGTATCACAGACAGGCATAGGGGTAGTGTAACGTGAAACGTGCAACGTGAAAGGGTATTTGTTTAAACCACTAGGTCACACTTACTTTCCACTTGGTGACCCTTCTGAGGTCCATGCTGGGCATGCAGATAGGGCGGTGGTAGGGCCTCAGACGCAGATCATCTGAGCAATGCTCCAGGGCGGAAAGCAGGTATATGCTGACGAACAGGAAGGCCAGGGAGGTGACCACGTACGGCACCAACAGACCATCCTTCAGGAACAATGGCAGCATACTGCAGAGGGGGGGAATGAGGGAGGGAGAGGGAGAGTACAAGAACAATGTAGTCTCTCAGAAACACATATCTCCATCCAATAAACTCTTTCCACGCCACATAAAGACATGTGTTTACAATTCAGACAGCCGTAGTAGGGCCTACTTAAATCCAACAAAACCCCATCTATTCAATGGCAAAATAAATACCCATTACATTTTTTAAAAATACATACTTCGCCAATTCAACAAACCCAGTGCATTCAGACGCTCTTACAATAACTGTGCTTAAGAAACCATTTGACTAAATTATGCAATTATGTCTTCAATTTACCCAAACAAAAGATGTATGTCTTCAACAATGGGTGGAGTGGAGATGCACAACGCAGGCCCTGTCAGTAAGACTGTACTAGAGGAGACATACAGAATGACTTGCTGTCCGTATACAAGACATGCTTAGAGGAGCGGTATGCTGGCTATGCAGTGTAATCCACGGATATCCCTATACTAAACCACACGTACAACAATTAGTACTGCCGGAAGAATTTAACGACAGCTGGTCAAAGTTAGTCAGCTTCACTCCCTCTCCCCTCTGACCTCTCCCCTCATACTGACTCCATTTCTATCTTTACTTGACTCTTAGAATATCAACACAAACATTCATCTGACAAAGCATCCTATTCTTTTTGAGGAGTTTTCTAACAGCTAATTTTTAGGATTTACATTTAATGGACATGATTGTACTTCTGCTTTTTGAACAGTCTCTCCTATGACCTTTAACCTGGTCTGTTGGTCTGCTATTATTGGCCAGTATAGTTTCTCCATCAGTGGTTCCCCTACAGTAGCTTCTCACCTGAACATAGAGGCCTGTAGAAACCAGATGGCTGGCAGAGGGAGGTCATTCAGTAGCAGGCAGACTGGCCTAGAGGCAGACAGAAAGTATTAGAGGAGAAAGGGTTAAACACCCCTAAATTATACACACTTTATTGAACAATAAACACCCTATGGGCCTTGGTCAAAAGTAGTGCACTATATAGGGATTAGGGTGCCATTTCGGACGAAACCCATCACTCCCTGATTGTATAATTTCAGTAGTACTCTTTGCGTATCCAGTTACACTCATTCCTATAGCCCCAATAATTGATCGACCACAAACAACGCCCTCCTCTGCTCCACATCCCGGCGTTCCTCCCTAAGCCCTGGACATGCATTACTGATTGATTCGGGGACAGACAGGTGGGAGATATAACTCAATCAATAAATAATGCAACAATCTGCCTGATCTAGATTAATAGATCACAAAATCTGTAACCAAATCCCACTGTGCAGCAAAACCTGGATAGCCTAGCGCTTACAGCTGCCTGTTGCTTTTTATATACTGCACTGCGGTTGGTGAGGTATATGATTAGGAACCGCATGCAGGCAGGAAGGCACACACACCCCTACTCCTCCCCTCTATTCATCAGGCAGGCAGGAGGATAGATTTTTCGTGAACTTGGAAGGAGAAGGAGAAGAATGCCAGAGAGGAATTGACCTAAAATGACAGTTTACACAGGTTAGCGTTACATCATCATTCTCTGTAATCAAACATCAGAAAACGAAGGTAGGAGAGCCAGGACAGTAGCCAGGAGAGTGGCGGCCAAACTGAAAACAAAACAGAGAAGAATGAAGTAATCTATCATCGTTCATAGAAACAGTGCTATGATAAATCTGACCAAATAGTGAATGGCCCAGCCCAGAAACCTAAACCTCATGGTGAAACCGAACTGTGCGGCTGCTGGCTCGTTTTAACCCCAGCACGGTCCACCCATAAGACCCCAGCTATGTGGGAACTGTATCAAATACTGGCCCGCTTAGGGCACCCAAAGCATTAGTTTAACCCTTCAATTGTCACTTACTGGGGATAGACACAGGAAGGGAGGGGTGAGAGGGGAGTGGACCAGAGGGGTACCTCCACTCCGGCTGAAGGGGTAGGGATAGGGTAAGGTAGGGCAGCGCATGAGTAAGAGGTGTGAGGGCAGCTGTGTCATGGGCCCCATGAAGGCCTAAAGGGCCCCTGGGGAGAAGGGGCAACAGGACCCCCAACATGGGGCAAGAGGAGTGCTTAGAGGGGTAATGGATGGGTGGGCTATGGAAGTGGGCTGGAGGGTCAGGGTGATTTAGGGTACAGTTCACAGATCATTTTTTGGGGTTGTTGAGAACTATTTCGTGGTATTCCACATACATAAATAGTCAACACAGTAGTTCACATCAACTGTAACGATAAGGTGACCAGTGATACATCTTTCTATGGCCTGGTATACCCCTCCTCCCCTCAAAACATACAGTTATTATAATATTCACCCATGACCAACAATATCTAGTGTTTTCATTTGTTTTAAATACGCTGCAGTCAGAGAATTCCCAGTTAATCCCTGGTCTTAACAGTCTGGCAGAAACGTGTCCACCCTGTTCAGAGTGCACACAGCACCACTAAATATAGCCCAACAGGTTATTCAAGCACGCACCACCATGACGAAAAGAGAAGGGTTCTATGACTGACTATAGCCTCTCCTCATTCATAAGGACCTTAGGGGAGAATAAGCTTTGACTGCCATAACATTTCATGGCACCACAGAAAAGTTAGCTATCTTGCTTTTTCCCAAACAGAAATGGTTCAAATAGTTTATTTTGGCATTCCAAATCTGAAATCTCATCAGCAGATTTCCAATAGTTGTCAGAGTGCCCATAAAAGCCCATAGCAGCTGATAGTGCTCAGTATTCAGAAGCTGCTCTCACATATTATTACAAGGGATAATCTTAATTTCACTCTGCTATAAAACAGTGTCTCTAATGTGAGGCTTCTCAGAGAGCGAGAGAGAGGAGAGACAGAAAGAAAACGAATGAGATGGAGTGATAGAAAGAGATAAAGAGATGAAGAGGGGGATTACCTGAGGGAGAGCTGGGTCTCAGTGGACAGGATGGTCTTAATCTTTATTAGGACGTTCAAGCTGCACCATGTGTTGGCCACTTTATCCTGTCAACACACACACATATTTAAATAAGAAAATAGCTCACTTCCCATAATGATGCAGAACTAATATACTTTTTTTTATTATTACGTTTTTTATAATCGATGTGAATCAATAAAATTAGTTACAAAACTCATTACAAGCCAAGGGTTTCACATTTTGAAACCCACATATATAGTATTACAGTACGCTGCTTTAAAAAGCAGAAGGCAAACAAGTGGCATTGCTCCAAGTAAACATTTCCCAACTGAAAGTGCAATAAAAATCCCTTCTGTGCATTCCACAGTGCATTTATAGCACTAGAAGCGATGCACTTATTTGTACACTTGGGGACATAGGGTTAAATGTTCAAAGATAATCACATTACAACAACTTCCGCATACTTCGGCACATTCACATTCAGACCACCCCATAGAAGACCACTGTAGTGTCACAGTGTCCACCCACCACACCCACCTAAGGCAGATGGAGTTATGACCATTGTGATTAATGTGATTTAAGTGCCTTAGAAGTTGTTCTGGGATCAGATATTAATTATTTCTGTGATATGACATAATGTAGAAATGCAATGCATAGATCAGTCTAACCCAGTGTTTCCCAAACCTGGTCCTCCAGTACCCCCAACAGTACAAATGTTTACTGTAACCCTGTACAAGCACACCTGATTCAACTCGTCATCTAATCATCAAGCCCTCGATGAGTTGAATGAGGTGTGTTTGTCGAGTGCTACAACAAAAATGTGTACTGTTGGGGGTACTCCAGGACCAGGGTTGGGAAACACTGGACTCTAACCATGTCTTGTAATAGTGTGGTCCCTTCTATAGTGTGAATTTCTACGAGGTCCTCTGGGCCTTGCCACAGCTGCTCAGAGCACAGCTGTGTGTGTGGAGGTTACAGGCAGGCTGTCCTGCCGACATCTAGGCCTCATCTCTCCTAGAACACCCAAATAAGTACCCTACTGGAATGTCACCCAACGCTGCCTGGGCTGAGGTCAACACATGAACCATTCGGTTCAGCCGCATCGGCAGCAAATGTGGGTTAGTGCCGTTGGTGGCGCTCCTCACCTACAGTGGGGGGAAAAAAGTATTTAGTCAGCCACCAATTGTGCAAGTTCTCCCACTTAAAAAGATGAGAGAGGCCTGTCATTTTCATCATGGGTACACGTCAACTATGACAGACAAATTGAGAAAAAATAATCCAGAAAATCACATTGTAGGATTTTTTATGAATTTAATTGCAAATTATGGTGGAAAATAAGTATTTAGTCACCTACAAACAAGCAATATTTCTGGCTCTGACAGACCTGTAACTTCTTCTTTAAGAGGCTCCTCTGTCCTCCACTCGTTACCTGTATTAATGGCACCTGTTTGAACTTGTTATCAGTATAAAAGACACCTGTCCACAACCTCAAACAGTCACACTCCAAACTCCACTATGGCCAAGACCAAAGAGCTGTCAAAGGACACCAGAAACAAAATTGTAGACCTGCACCAGGCTGGGAAGACTGAATCTGCAATAGGTAAGCAGCTTGGTTTGAAGAAATCAACTGTGGGAGCAATTATTAGGAAATGGAAGACATACAGTGGGGAAAAAAAGTATTTAGTCAGCCACCAATTGTGCAAGTTCTCCCACTTAAAAAGATGAGAGAGGCCTGTAATTTTCATCATAGGTACACGTCAACTATGACAGACAAATTGAGAAAAAAATATCCAGAAAATCACATTGTATGATTTTTTATGAATTTATTTGCAAATTATGGTGGAAAATAAGTATTTGGTCACCTACAAACAAGCAAGATTTCTGGCTCTCACAGACCTGTAACTTCTTCTTTAAGAGGCTCCTCTATCCTCCACTCATTACCTGTATTAATGGCACCTTTTTGAACTTGTTATCAGTATAAAAGACACCTGTCCACAACCTCAAACAGTCACACTCCAAACTCCACTATGGCCAAGACCAAAGAGCTGTCAAAGGACACCAGAAACAAAATTGTAGACCTGCACCAGGCTGGGAAGACTGAATCTGCAATAGGTAAGCAGCTTGGTTTGAAGAAATCAACTGTGGGAGCAATTATTAAGAAATGGAAGACATACAAGACCACTGATAATCTCCCTCGATCTGGGGCTCCACGCAAGATCTCACCCTGTGGGGTCAAAATGATCACAAGAACGGTGAGCAAAAATCCCAGAACCACACGGGGGGACCTAGTGAATGACCTGCAGAGAGCTGGGACCAAAGTAACAAAGCCTACCATCAGTAACACACTACGCCGCCAGGGACTCAAATCCTGCAGTGCCAGATGTGTCCCCCTGCTTAAGCCAGTACATGTCCAGGCCCATCTGAAGTTTGCTAGAGTGCATTTGGATGATCCAGAAGAGGATTGGGACAATGTCATATGGTCAGATGAAACCAAAATAGAACTTTTTGGTAAAAACTCAACTCGTCGTGTTTGGAGGACAAAGAATGCTGAGTTGCATCCAAAGAACACCATACCTACTGTGAAGCATGGGGGTGGAAACATCATGCTTTGGGGCTGTTTTTCTGCAAAGGGACCAGGACGACTGTTCCGTGTAAAGGAAAGAATGAATGGGGCCATGTATCATGAGATTTTGAGTGAAAACCTCCTTCCATCAGCAAGGGCATTGAATATGAAACGTGCCTAGGTCTTTCAGCATGACAATGATCCCAAACACACCGCCCGGGCAACAAAGGAGTGGCTTCGTAAGAAGCATTTCAAGGTCCTGGAGTGGCCTAGCCAGTCTCCAGATCTCAACCCCATAGAACATCTTTGGAGGGAGTTGAAAGTCTGTGTTGCCCAGCGACAGCCCCAAAACATCACTGTTCTAGAGGAGATCTGCATGGAGGAATGGGCCAAAATACCAGCAACAGTGTGTGAAAACCTTGTGAAGACTTACAGAAAACGTTTGACCTGTGTCATTGCCAACAAAGGGTATATAACAAAGTATTGAGAAACTTTTGTTATTGACCAAATACTTATTTTCCACCATCATTTGCAAATGTATTCATTAAAAATCCTACAATGTGATTTTCTGGATTTTTTTTTCTCATTTTGTCTGTCATAGTTGACGTGTACCTATGATCAATCAATCAATCAATCAATTTTATTTTATATAGCCCTTCTTACATCAGCTAATATCTCGAAGTGCTGTACAGAAACCCAGCCTAAAACCCCAAACAGCTAGTAATGCAGGTGTAGAAGCACGGTGGCTAGGAAAAACTCCCTAGAAAGGCAAAACCTAGGAAGAAACCTAGAGAGGAACCAGGCTATGAGGGGTGGCCAGTCCTCTTCTGGCTGTGCCGGGTGGAGATTATAACAGAACCATGCCAAGATGTTCAAAAATGTTCATAAGTGACAAGCATGGTCAAATAATAATCAGGAATAAATCTCAGTTGGCTTTTCATAGCCGATCATTAAGAGTTGAAAACAGCAGGTCTGGGACAGGTAGGGGTTCCATAACCGCAGGCAGAACAGTTGAAACTGGAATAGCAGCAAGGCCAGGCGGACTGGGGACAGCAAGGAGTCACCACGGCCGGTAGTCCCGGCGTATGGTCCTAGGGCTCAGGTCTCTCAGTTGGCTTTTCATAGCCGATCATTAAGAGTTGAAAACAGCAGGTCTGGGACAGGTAGGGGTTTCGTAGCCGCAGGCAGAACAGTTGAAACTGGAATAGCAGCAAGGCCAGGCGGACTGGGGACAGCAAGGTGTCATCATGCCCGGTAGTCCTGACGTATGGTCCTAGGGCTCAGGTTCTCAGAGAGAAAGAGAGAACGAGAGAATTAGAGAGAGCATACTTAAATTCACACAGGACACTGGATAAGACAGGAGAAGTACTCCAGGTATAACCAACTAACCCCAGCCCCCCGACACATAAACTACTGCAGCATAAATACTGGAGGCTGAGACAGGAGCGGTCCGGAGACACTGTGGCCCCATCCGAAGAAACCCCCGGACAGGGCCAAACAGGAAGGATATAACCCCACCCACTCCGCCAAAGCACAGCCCCCGCACCACTAGAGGGATATCCCCAACCACCAACTTACAATCCTGAGACAAGGCCGAGTATAGCCCACAGAGGTCTCCACCACAGCACAAACCAAGGGGGGGGCGCCAACCCAGACAGGAAGATCACGTCAGTAACTCAACCCACTCAAGTGACGCACCCCTCCCAGGGACGGCATGAAAGAGCACCAGCAAGCCAGTGACTCAGCCCCTGCAACAGGGTTAGAGGCAGAGAACCCCAGTGGAGAGGAAGAGAGAGGACCAACTTTGCGGAAAATCTGCCTTCTTCCAGCAGGTGACGTTTTTTCACCCACCAAGCAAGGAGTTTTTGTATGAAGTGTCGAATTTTTGTTCAACCAAAACATTTATGGCTTATTTATGGCATTGTTACAGAAACGCGGTGGTTGGGAGAGGTTGTGTTTTCTCTAGCAGGAGGTAAGCGTGGCTTCTTATATGATGTTGAGTAAAGCTTAAACCATGTATTTAGATTGTAGGTAGGTATTGTAGTCAGGTATTATAGGTAGTTTACTTAGGTAGTTATTGTAAGTTATTGTAGGTTATTGTAGGTAATTATTGTAGGTAAGTATTGTATTCGGCGGACCCCGGCGAAGCACGAGTGCTAGCTAACCCACTACTTGGACCAACAAAGCTAGCTAGCTAGCGGGTAGCTACTGGTAACTTTTAGCAACTGTGGTTAGTTGTTTCCAATGTTATTTCACGCTTAAGAGTACCTGTAATTGAGCCAGCTAGCTGCCTACCATTCAGCTGTTTTTCTAACCTCATTATCCGAGGCATTAACGTTAGGTGGTTGGTAGCTGCTGTACTTAATTACAGCTACTGATTGCAGTCTGCCACCCAGTTAGCTGGCGTTGGGTAAGTTTGGCTTTATACATAGCTTGGGCTTTGTCGAGTAAGGCTTAAACTATGTATTTAGATTGTAGTTAGGTATTATAGGAAGGCATCGTGGGCTGTATATTATTAGGTAT